GTATACAAAAATCTTTTTGACTTTTTTTAAGACAATGCATATTCCCATAGGATTGCAGCATCTAGAAGTCAGAACTAGGTGTGCATAACTGTCTTCATGTAGTACCTAGCATAGTATCATGTACAACCAAATTCTTTTGATGACAATGACTTAAAAAACAAAAAACAAAAAAAAAACCCTACCATCTTTTTTTTTTTTTTTTTTTTTTTTTTTTTTTTTGATATGGGAGTCTCACTCTGTTGCCCAGGCCAGAGGGCAATGGCGCAATCTCGGCTCACTGCAAGCTCCGCCTCCCGGGTTCACGCCATTCTCCTGCCTCAGCCTCCCGAGCAGCTGGGACTACAGGTGCCTGCCACTGTGCCCGGCTAATTTTTTGTATTTTTAGTAGAGACAGGATTTCACTGTGTTAGCCAGGATGGTCTCGATCTCCTGACCTCGTGATCCGCCCGCCTCGGCCTCTCAAAGTGCTGGGATTACAGGTGTGAGCCACTGCACCCAGCCCCTACCATCCTTAAAAGACATGGTAGATGTATAATCCTAACATGGACGTAGAATATTTTACTTTCCCAAGACCTCATAAACGCCTTCAAATGACCACTTAAACTGCAGGGTCTTGAGCTGGCCAGAGCCACCCGCCTTCACCTGGCTCCTTTAAGCAAATAAGCACAGAGCCCCGCGCAGAGCTTGGGGAATGATGTCACCTCTGTCCTCGGAATGATGGAGCACAGGGTCACTCTTTGACCTCGTCCTCAGGGGTGGGAGGGCTCTCCGGCTTCTCACAGGACGCACCAGGGTTGAACTGGGACTTGACATGGATGCGTTTTCTTCTGCAGGTATGTTAGGAATGGCCCCACCTGATTAAAAAAAAGAAAAAACAAGAGGCGAAACATAAATTATTTCACCAGCTGTAGTCCTCAAAATGCGCAGGAAACACCTGTGAGCCTGAACCTGCCCGGGCAAGGGTAACGCAGTTAATAACATTTACTCAGGCTGCTGGCCCAGTAGGTTTTTATATCACTGCGCTATGGGAAAAGTTGCCTTTCCAAACCACCCCTCCACACCTAAAACAAACAAACAGAAAAATTTACATCCAACAGCAAAATAAAGGAGCCATGCCAAAATGTCAGGCTGTTTTTCCCAAAGGTGCTTAGACTCGTCTCCAGGGAAGCATCCTGGGGCAGTACGGAGAAGCACCCTGACCTATCAGGATGAGCCTGGTTCTGGGAAAGTAATACCTGCACAGGTGAGGTGGCTGCTCTGTGGGCTGCAGAACTCCCAGAAGGCTGAGTTAGAGAGTCAAGTATCCACTAAACAAATCCGTAAAACCCCGCGGGAACTGGATAATTTATGCTCATAAAAAAAAAATTGCATCATTCGTGAGCCTGAGTTGCAATTCGGGAAACTTTTCAAAATGGAAAAATTCGCTGGGCACAGTGTCTCATGCCTGGAATCCCAGCACTTTGGGAGGCCGAGGCGGGCAGATCACCTGAGGCAGGAGTTCGAGACCAGCCTGGCCAACATGGCAAAATCCCGTCTCTACTAAAAATACAAAAATTAGCTGGGCATGGTGGCGGGCGCCTGTAGTTCCAGCTACTCGGGAGGCCAAGGCAGGAGAATCACTTGAACCCAGGAGGTGGAGGTTGCAGTGAGCTGAGACTGTGCCATTTCACTCCACCCTGGGCAAAAGGAGCAAAACTCTGTCTCAGAAAAAATAAATAAAAATAAAGTTAAAAAATAAAAAATGGAAAAATTATGAACATACTTAGGAGACAGGACACTGCTTCATAATTCTACTTGGGATGGAAGGTGAACAGAACACAAAGTATTACATTACACATAGTACTGCTGAAAAATTACCTTCATCTAAAATTGCTAAGAGTTGATCCATTATTTATTGCCATTTGCGATTTTGTCCTGCTGAACAATTTTCTGGGCCACTTAAAACCTCCCCAAAGAGAGAAGGCCATAACAATGTTCCCTTAAATTACAAGGATAAATGTAAACTGACTCTAGTACTTACTATAGTACTGAAAACCAGAATTCACTAACTGCTCAGGCAGCATGACATGGGCCCTAGGTTATAAATGACACAGCACAATCTCACTGCAAATTCCCCCTGCCAAAAGTCTAGCTAATTTTAATAGGAGGAAGAAAATTATAGATCAGAAAACACAGGAATACCAAATCAAACGCTGTAACCTATTTCATGGTTCCTGAGAATAGTCTGGTTCATAAAAATGTCTAAGGATATCTTTTTTCAGTTCACGTATTTTCTCCCATTTATAAGCCCTAATAGTTGATGGCGTTTTTGCACCTGGAGAAAAAGGTAGAGCTTGAACTATTTGCTCCGAGAATATCTGCCCTCCAGCACAATACCAGACAAGATCATTATTATTATTATTATTCATTTGTAGAAACAGGGTCTCTCCATGTTGTCCAGGCTAGCCTCAAACTCCTGGCCTCATGTGATTCTCCCACCTCGGCCTCCCAAAGTGCTGAGATTACAGAGATTAGCCACCTTGCACAGCCTATTTTATCATGTTTTAATCTACTGAATCATGTCACAATGTATCTATTACCTTGAGTCACTTGTGTGCAGCCCGGATCCAGTGGGATCATAGCAGCTTCTGATCCTTCTGCCATTTGGAATGAAGATCCCTGCATCACAGGAAAAAGAGGGTTATTTTGTTGATGTTTAACTCACCGCTCATTAGACCCAGTTAACTCCTTAAAAAGATGTGTGGGGCCCGGTCTCCCTGCTCTTCTCTGGGGGCAGGGGTTGGGGAGATGCTGTGTTTCCCACTTGCAGTCAATGTACTTAGAGAGATGTGGGACAGACAGTACCTGCTCCTGGTCCATCTGGCTCACCACAGCTTCATACGGCGGCGGGGGATCCAGAGGACAGAACACTTCCACACCTTTGATTCGAGCTCCGTAGATGTGTGGCAGGGGAATAACATCAGGACCAACCATCCTAGGAAAAGGAACTCGGCGTCAGAAAGCACATTCTACAGACTGGCCACGTGACTGCAGTGATGCCTGGATACTGGCTTCACTCTAAACCATGGGCAAAACCACTCACCTCTCCGTACCATGGTCTGCTTGGCCAGGAGAGGGAGAATAACAGAAGCTGCTCTCTGACGAAGTGGCCAGAGTTCCTTAAGCAAATGACAGTGTATAAAATGCAACCCCATCATTCCTTTTAAACCCATCAGTCAAAAGCAAATAATCCATAGAGACACAGAGCAGATGAGTGGTTGCCAGGGGATGGGGGAGAAGGGAATGGGGAGTGACTGTTTGAGGGGTATGGGGCCTCCTTGAAGTATTGAAAATGCTTTGGAACTAGATAAAGATGGTTACAAAATAATTTGAATGTACTAAATGCTACTGAATCATATACTTTGGTTAATTTCATTTTATATGAGTTTCACCTCAATTTAAAAAACAAGTAAGGATTCAGGAAAATTCAATTATTTCTTACATTCTACATGGCTCTTGTTTTTGTCCTGTGGGTAAAGAACCATCAACAGCAAAATTCAAAATAATAGCAAAATCCTCCACAAGATTTCTCACTAGTGTTGACAGAAAATTCCACAAATCTCTGCCCAAGGTGCTAGATGATCTAGATAATGATGAACCTAAGTTTTAAAATAATTTATAAAATACATATAAAAGCCAGAAAACCTGTATTCCGCTATGGAGTATCAAAGAATGAAAAAAAAAAAAACAAAAACCAGCAAAAGTTTGTTCTTGAAATACAAAAACAGGATTTTAAAAAGCTAAAAGAAATGGATGAGTAAACAGATTCTGGGGCTAGTTGCTTGCAGGCACTGCCTTTTGGGGAGCGGTGTTCTCTGAATTTATAGTTGTTTCATTTTATTCTTTGTGGCCATGTACAAAATGTGATTGGTGGAAGAAAACATTTGAAAAGGATGTCATCTTCTTTCTTCCTAACAATAAATCTGGGACTGAGAAGAACGAGACTCTGCAACCTGAGTGAAAAGATGAGAATGCACTCCCTCATTTTCACCTATATTTGTCTGTTCATAAGCAAGGCTCTCATCCCTTGCTTGACCTGAAAGGGAAGGCAGAAGGTGATGTGCTAACGCCTGACGTGGAGATCTTTGCAGGTTCAGCACGCAACATGTCAAGCCTCCAGTTGAATGCGAGGCACTAGCACAAAGGGTCCCTTCGTGGGGGAGGGGTCCTAGCAAAGTTATCAAGAAAGAGAGATTCTCCCCTTAGAGCAGGACTTGCCAACAGGCTTCATTCCAACTCCCATACTCCACCGAAACTGTTTAAGAACTATATGTGCTAAGTGACTCTGAGAAGCCAGACCCTTCTTGGATCTAAGAGTGAAGATTCTTTCCTGGCAAATGAACAGTGCAATTTGTTTTCATCAATGAGACCTATGGACTTCTATCCTCTCTAGAGGGCCAGCCTTCCATCTTTAATGAGCATAGCCCCCATAAGCCATCTTCCTAGCACTTACAAACACTTGACTTTTTCTCTCCAACAAATGACACCTGTATTTCTTTGCTGCTGTGTCCCCTGCCTGGAAAGTTTCTATCCCCAGCTTTGTTACCTGTTTCTTAGCTCTGATGGTCCCTGTTTGGCAGTCCCAACACAATGGGTACCTATGTGTCCAGAGAGAGAGGAGGGCTTGCTGAGGGCCAAGAGGTCAGAGGAACAGGCCCTGTTTTAGATCCTAAACTATTGTAGAATTTCTTCCAGAAGAATAGCTTGAGAAAGAGGGGGCATACTTTATCCAAGTTGACCACAAAATAAACAGCTTCTATGGTAGTTTTGATAATGCCCATAAAAGCCTCACTTTGAAGGAAGATGCTGCTAGAGTTGACATAGAAGAAAAGTTCCTTTCCAATTAAGCAATTTCTTGTTTTACCTCGTTTGTGTTAACGAGGGTCTGTGGAGGGAAATGGGTCTGCTCATACTGGCAGGTTGTTTTTTGTGTGTTTTTTGACTACTGTTTCTTTCCCCAGATCCCCATGGCTCTCAGTCCTGGCAAGGTGGGTAGAATCACCTTGGGAGGTTCTAAAACTCTGGATGGCCCAGGCCTCACTTCTAGAAATTCTGCTCTCATCGCCTATGGTGGGGCCCAGGAATCTGCCTGTTGTCAGCGCTCCTAGGGGATTCTAATACACCGCCAAGATGGAGCACCATTGCAAAAGCAAATGGATAACGGTGATTGAAATTAAAGCCCTGTTCTACTGGGAAAGTTGATCAAATTTTTATTAAGAATGAGGGTCTTCAGAAGACAGTTGCCTAATAAGGTCAGGCTAAGGTTAAGAGCTAAGTGTTTCTTAAGAGCAGGACACATACTGAGAGCATTTTAAAACCCAGAACTAACACTGGGAAAGCCCAGTCTAAGATGCTCTTTTCAGAAAGCTTCTTAAGTCCATTCTCTCATAACAATACTCCCCGCAGCCACATGACAACGAAGGTGAATGAGGAAACTGAGGCTCAGAAATGGTGAGAGACTCATCCTGGGTCACCCTCTGCAGAGACTCTAGAGCCTGGGCTCTTTCGAATTCATCACCAAGTCCCCAGGAAGCCTTCACTGGTGCAGGCTCAGGAGCACTGAAGACGGAAATGCAAAGCATGTTCTGCTTTCAGGCTACAAATAGGCCCTGAAGACTTACTCAGGGGGAATGCAGCAGCGAATACACCGTTGACCAGAGAATCCTCCTCCTCCTGTACTGGAAAACTGTGCCCTGTGACTGGGTACAGGGTTGCTGCTTGCGGAGTGGGAGACAGGGAAGGGCCCTCCCGCCCCCTCTCTAGAGCTGAGCACAGACTCAACCCCAGCATTGCCGGACTCCGCTTGAATTTGGATTTGGAAATTCTTAGGAAAGGAAATGAGTGGGGTTTTGTGGGGGCTCTGCTTTAAGAAATGCCCATGTCAACCATGTCAATGCCCAAGACCCCCTCAGTCTTCAGTTTTCTTTAATAGGGTACATCCCCAGAGTAAAAACCAGGTCCATGTTCAAGAAATAGGTTGGAGACTCCTTGATTCCTGGCTCAAGCCAACTTCTGAGAAGAAAGACACCCCGGAGTAGTGGAGGTGGGGTGCACGGCCCCCTCCTGTATCACAAATCAATTCACAAAGTAGTGAATCCATCTTTGGACAGAAACCTCAACTGCAGTCAGGCTTCCGTTTATGACAGTAACTCGAGAAGCCTTTTCTCAAGGAGATGCCAACGCATGAAGTGGTTGTATTTATAGAAGTTAAATCAACCTCTTCTGAGAGGTCATAATACCTTACAGGAAATGGTGAGCCTCTGTTGTGTGAAAACTCTGGATAAAACTGATCGTAGAAATAGTAACAAAAACATTCGTGAATATTCTTGCCTGCCTGCTTATGAGAAAGAAAATTACCAGCTGAGGTTAAACCATTAGTGTGTATAAAGTTGATTTATACTGTGAATCTAGCAAAGTTGGTCACATTTTAAAATTTTTTGATAGGACATGTATTTAAATGTGAATAAATTCAGCCCTTTTGAAAAGGAACGTGGACTGCACTCTGATATTGGTAAAATTTCCAAAAATTAAGGTGTTTGCCCACTGGCAATATGATTATAGGGCTCTGGGCACGTTTTAGACTGGGCAATGTCTTCTTTCTCACAAGACTGTTTAGATTTAACTCCCTCCTTCTGCCTTCTTTCTAGAAAGTTCTGAATGATAAAGCCCTTGATGAGAAGCTTGTCTGTTGTCTTCCAACCTAGATGTGGCCAGAGGTAGTCTCAAGACTCAGAGAGACAAATCCGAGGATGTACCTAGATATTAAAGAATGGAAATATCTGCAGTGATGAGCACTATTACAGTGAAGCAGAGAAGAGAAAGGAAAGCGAGGAGACAGGAAGGTCGGGAGTGCTCAGAGCACACTGCTGGATGGCTCAGCTCCTAAACCCACATGAGTCACTTTCCCCTTCTGCCACTGCAGAAACTAAATCTGTCTGTTGCCTCCTCCTAGGTCAACAGAGTGCTCATCTGCAACCTCAGCGTCAAAGAATTCCTCTTATTGGAGAGGGTATTTCTCATCCCCACCAAGAAATATCAGTCATTTTTACTATCCTCCAATGTACCCTCTACAGACAGCCTGAGATGGTGCTAAGATTTTCGCAAATGTGTCCTCAGGTACAGAAAGAACATGTGTTTTGCTGCTGTATCTCTTCATCCTCTGTCATTCTTGGCTCATTTCCCGAAAGATTAGGGAAGTCATCCCAGCCCCTGAGGCTGTGAAATTCCAGTAGAGGCCACTCCCTGAACACCACAGAGGCCAAGCTGTCCCACAGGCCTAGCCCAAGCCACCTGTCACCCAGCTGACACCCCCTCCAGCTTTGCGGTCATCTCTGCCGCTGCCTGGGCAAGTGAGCTGGGGAGGGTATAGAGATAGGGTTCAGGTATAACTCTAAGGGACGAGTCAGCAGCTAAGTCACTGAAAAGAACACTAACAGTGTCTGGGTGGCAGCCCCACTGGTGACCCATCTCAAAGTCACATACAGTCACCCTGGACATTAGAAAATACTTCTCTAAAAACCTCAAGCTCAGCACCAAGTTGGTTTGATAAGTCTCTACATGTACTACAGGGATTAAAAAAATAGAAATTTCTGGCCCTCTGAATATGAAGCCAAAGACACTAGTATTTCTGTGGAATTGAGAGATTCTCTTTCAGAAAGTTCAACAGAGGTTTGCTTATCCTTTGAACTCAGCTTAACGTCACTTCTTCCAGGACGCCACCTCTGACTGCCTCGCCACTCTGGGTGAGCTGGACCTTCTCTGTGCACCCAAAGTCCCTCTTTTGAATACTACTGTGATCCTTCCAACACATTTTAATGACCTAGACTGTGAGCTCCTTAATGGTAGGGGAGGAAGCAGGTCTAGCTCATTTTGAATTCCAGTAACCGAGGATTCTATGTTTGTTGAATGAATAAATGAAGTCATTCTTTTAAAAAAGGTTTGTTTCTAGAAGTTGCTAACAATCAGACAAATGTATGTGGCATTTCAATGTACCAATAAAAATCCTTGATATTTAAGAAGGTCAAAATTTTGAGTTTGAAATTTGAAAAGGAAAGTAAGTACAGTATCTATTTTTTCTAGACCAGGGAGAGACAATTAATAATTAATCTCTTTTTAATGGCTAGGAAGAATTTCATGATTGTTGAGACCTGCTGATGGTATTACAATGAAACATCGATTTGGCCTAACTGGGAGTGTTTCCAAGGCAACAGTGACTCTAAATCATGTCAAATTACAGCTGTTATCTCCCTGGGTGTCAGTTTCCCTTAGAAAGCTAATTCAAATTGAAAATGTCTACCTTTAGGTCAAAGTTTAACTTTTCTTTGGATCCATCTGCTTTATCAGACAAAAAGAGACAGACAAAGTAAGACAGAAAACAGAGAGTGACAGAGAGAATAGAAACCCCTGAAAAACAGCACAATTGTTTTTCAGTTTTCTAAAGAAGGCTGGCAGAAGTGGACTCTCTAAAAGCCATACCTCAGGGTTCACTAGCTGATTTTGTCACTCAATGGGCTAATAATATTCCTTAAGTCAGGAACAATTTTTCTTTTTCTTTTTCAAAGCAAAGTGAGATCTCATGGTGTGAGTTCCGGAGACACTTCAGTCTTCAGAACCTACAGCACCCCACCGAGACTGCAGGGGAACTCAGGAACGATACCTGCGGTTCATCCGGGGTGTGCACGAGTAAAATGTGGCAAAATAGGAAGGGGGAGGCACAGGCGGCACAAAATCATCAGGGTCCGGGATGCGTCCATGATCCTCCACTTCTTCAGCAGAAATCTGGGATTCATCCTAATTAAACAGCAGCTCGGTTAGTCAACGGTCTTCATTACAAAGGCACAGGGAGAGAGGTAGTGGAGGACACGAAGGGGTCCATGGGCTGGCTCAGGGGAAACATAGCCATGACTTACGATGCAGGATCTCCTGGTTGCGAATATCTGGAGGTAGCGGAGGGCGGCGGCCACCAAGCAGACGGTGGTGGTCAGGGCATTCAAGGCACACAGGGCAAAGAGGACTTTCTGGGGCAAGGAAACAAGGGCACCACTAAGTCCTTCAACATACATCACCAGAATATCATGTAGAAAATCTTAAAAATAATAGTAACGCTGCCTCCATAAGACAATTCTCAGGAGAGGCTGCATGTAAAGGATTTAGGTGGTGTCTGGCTCATGGAAAGCGCCCACATAAATGCTGGCTATTATTATGACCCTCATGCAATAATGCTCACTTCTTAATTCCAAAAACTTTTCTTAGAAGCTCCCTGTCACAGAACGACCTGGTATGACAGTATTTCTTTTTGCAAGCATCAGAATACTGTCAGGAAACACTCCTTCCAGGAGAGCAGTGAGTTTCTCTTCTGAGGCTGATTTCCCCAGGGATAGCAATTCCCAGCCTCCTCCCTCCCACAGCCTCCCACCCGCACAGCGCACTGCTTCATTTGTGGCCACTGATTCTATTTCAAGAGCAATTGGCTGTGCGGCCCCATGCACACGACGAGGACGCTGCAGGGGCCGGCCCAGCCAGAGTGGAAATAGGACTTCTCTCCACTAAACACACATCTCAAAATAGCAAAAGCCATTCCAAACACTTCTGTTGGTACAGTCCTGGCTCCTTTAGTGGGGCTTTCCCCAAGCTAAGTCCTGGCTCCGAAAGTTTGGGGGTGACTCAGCTACCAAAAATGCAGAAGCCATGGAAAGCAGGCCATTTCTACATCCCACACAACCCAGAGCTGGTAGCTTGGAACAGTTCTCTCTTTGCTTGGAGACTCTTCCTCCCCACCAAAATGAAACCCAAAACAAATATCTAAAGAAAACCGGTGGAAGTGGATTCTCTAAAAGCCATGCCTCAGGGTTCACCAGCCGATGTTGTCACTCACTGAGCTAATGTTCCTTAAGTCAGGGCACAAATTTTATGCAACTCCCTGATGAAGGCTAATTTTGTACTTCTCTTCAACTGGGATCATCTGTTTGTTTAATCTCTTTTGCTTATTATAGTTGTTGCCTATGAAACAAGAGCTAAGGTGCTTCAATTCCCCCATATTTTCTGGCCAATCTCTCTCCTTAGTCTATGTGTTGCAGACTTGTAGTACTCAGTGGTGCATATGACCCACATAAGCAAACAAATGAGCATCAGAACAATGACACATGAGTGTGCAACTTAAAGGTTTTGCTAACAGCTACACCATATATATGTGTGTATGTATACATACGTACGTATGCATATGTGTGTGTGTATGTGTATACATATACATATATATAGTCAGGCTCCTTTCCATTTTTTACTATCTTACAGTTCTTCAGCACAAAGAAGGCTGTCCATACATAATTTAACACACACAATGATCTGTGGTTCCTTCTGCATTCAATTCTGTCTCTGGGGTCACTCACATGTGCTTTCAGCAGCTTAACTATTTGAAGCAGGTAACAGAACAGGAATATTTCAAGTAATTTTGCCTTCTTTGGGGGCTCCGTGGTGTATTTACTGTGGGGGTGGGAATCTGTTCGAGGTACCTTAAGTAGAAGGTGAACAGCACTACAGGGCTGAACTGGAAAGAGTTTCAAGGCGTTTTCTTTGTCTGTGCACTTGGCTGGTTGAAATTCTTCACAACAGAAGCAAATCTTGCCTTCACCTAAGTCCACCTTAATGGAGGAAAGGTAGAAAAATACTTTAATTATTAAGAAAACCACCCCGGCTCCACCATGGAGCACCAATCCTGTAGAATGAGGTTATGGCAGGGTTCTGTGTCAGGCAATGCCTCTCTCGGTCAGGATGGGCTAGGGTATGGCATGGTAACAACCAAAACCTACACTTCGGTGGCTTTCCCAAAACAAAGGGAATTTTAATATTCCTCCTTTCTCCTTTAAAGTCTCCAGCTGAGAACTTCCTGTTTTTACACTAATCCCGTTTAGTGCTAACAAATAAGCAGCTAAATGAGACGAAGTATCAGCCTCCATTCTGCTCATGTACACGAGTCCCACTCTTCCCCAAAAAGAACCAAACTCACTTTCTTTTTCCAACACGATGCACTCTGATTTTCATTTTTTGGACTTGGTGCAAGCCTCAAGATCTTAACCTGAAAGCTCTCTCTCTCTCTCAGACAATGCTAGGCATCATCTTACAAAGTACTCCCTTCCCAACCAAGTCCATTCTTGATACAAAGCGTTTAGTTAAGTGGGAAACCAGGCCTATGTGGGCTGCACCCATGTGAGTGCTTTATCCATATAACATAGATGTCCAGCTCTTCAGAAACTTCAGCTACCTAGAACCTCTGCAGTGAGCCAGTCTGGATGGCAAAATTTTCCAGATGGGTGAAATTTAATCCCTTTAAACAAACCTATTTGAAAGTTTACTCATTATACAAATGATCATGAATACCAACTAATTTTCCCACTGGATACAAAGAAGCCCTCAGACTCTGTACAAAACAATTCCAGGCAACTGTGCATTGTGCGTTCCTGCTCCCCTATTCCTGATCCTTGCAGAATCTAATA